CTTTTCAATTTGTTTCTTATTTAATTTCTCAAAATAACCAAACCAACTCAGTGTCCCTTTTGAAACATCACTCACTTTTGTATTCAATCCACATTTATTCACCACTTATTTGTTTTTTACTCTACCTCTTCTTGTTTTATTATTTCCGAGTGGTCTATTGTGTATACTTATAGAAGATATAGATATATAGATATTAGAAAGAGATAAATTTAAATTAATAATTATAATTATAATATATTCTATATAATTATAAAAAATAAATATAAATATTACTCAAATACTGTAGCTTGAGCATCTTCAGAGCAAGGATTTCAGTGGCTAACATTAGCCTTCCATTTGCAAATAGGTGAAGGGACTGCAGGAATTGCTAGTTTTGCTTTTTCTCTTTGAAAATAATCTTATGCCAGCAGTACTCCAAATCCAGCATAGAGTCTGCTTTAATGCAAATGGGGATGAGATTTATGATGTAGGTATAGGCTCAAGAATATATAAAGACAGACAGTATGCTACAATAGTAAAGAGGATATTCCAAGGGAGAAAAGCAGTAACATATCTTACCCAAGATAATGAAGGATAAGGATATTTCTATGACAATAAAAAAATCAAATAGTGTAAGTAATAGTTTTTTCCATGATAATGTATGGTTGTGAAAATTGGTAATTGAGAAATAGTGTTTGAATTATGGATTTGGAGATGGTTACTAAGAGTACAGTGGTACCTTGGTTCAGAACACTTCTGTTCACGAACAATTTGGTTCACGAACAGCTCCGTTGGCAAAATTTTGCCTCCGTTCGTGAACACCGGATCAGGTTACGAACAGGATCCGTGGCCATTTTCCCTCCTGTGACACATGGTCGTGGCTTCCTGTAGGGAGGGGGACTCTCCCTCCAAGCAATAACCGCCTCCCAACCTGCCTTCCTGTCCTCCACGCCAGAAGTCACATCGAGCAAGGTTAGCTTTCCCTCTCTTCGTACTGTACTTTGTGTCATATTTTTGCGGTTTAAAAAAACAACAACAGATGGTGCAGAAAAGATTAACCGTA